TTTTATGGCCTTAATAAGTGCACATTTATATTTTATGTGTAAGTTATTAGTATTTAGTTACATATTTCTTATCAACTTTGTTTAAAGAGATAATATTTATTTTATGACTTTGCATTGTCTTGGAAGCACTATTTTTATTACTCTTACAAACATTATTTTTATGAAGTGCATTCTATGATGCTTCCAATTTATTTTATGTTCACTAAACTAATATTGTTGTATTTTTTATTTGGTAGGATTGTGTTAGTGCGATTGATGGAACATATATAGAAGGGGAGGTTCCTAAAGCGGTGCAACAAGCATATCGTAATCGCAAAGGAAGAACATCACAATGTGTCTTATGTGCTTGTGATTTTGATATGCGATTTACCTTTGTTGTTGCTGGTTGGGAAGGTACTGCACAGGATATTAAAGTACTTGAGAATGCACTTGTTGAGCCAACGTCACAATTTCCATTTCCGCCACATGGTAACTTTAAATTACATCCTTAGAATAAATACTATTTATTTACACAAAGCTATCTCATTTACGTCACATATGCTTTTTAGTAATTTCTTTATAAAATGTTTTTTGGTAGATAAATATTATGTTGTTGATGCTGGTTTCCGAAACACAAAAGGATTTTTAGCTCCATACAAAGGATTACACTATCATTTGCAAGATTACCGAGGAAGTGAAAAAGAGCCTCAAAATGCCAAAGAACTATTTAATTATAGGCATTCATCTTTGCGCAATGTGATTGAAAGGACTTTTAGAGCTTGGAAAAATAAATTTAGAATACTGAAACAAGGCATGAACCATTATGATATTGATACAGAAGTGAAAATTGTCATAGCTTGTGCAGTGTTACATAATTATTTGCGAGAATACCAAAGTAGTGATGAAATATTTATGGTCTATGAACATGAAACTATAGTTGTGGAGGATATTGACCAACAAATGGCTCAAAGTAACAATGTTGGTTCGTCCTCTCGGTCACATGATCGAGAAATGCAAGTTCAACGTGAGGAAATTGTCCATACTATGTGGGAGGATTATATTAAAGACTAGTGCACTACAATTTATGTTCAATTTTTTTATTAAATTAAAGTTAGATGAAACAATTACTTAAGTGGAAAACAAATAACTTTGTAATAATTTATTATGCGATTTTATAATTTTTTGTTTTATTTTGATAAGATTGAATAAACAATTGGGGCGTATTTTAATAGTTTTACAACTTATGAGATTTTTATTGTTTATGAGAAAATATACAACACAAAAATTTCATATCGCATGTCCAAAACAAACCTTCAATTTCATCTCATGATTTCATATCATGATACCATGAGATGATACCATATCATGATTCCATTTCATCTCATGATTTCATATCATGATTCCATATCATGATACCATATCGCATGGCCAAACGGGCCCTAAGATATAGTCCTGCTCAGATACCATATATAAAGGTCATGGTCCAACTGTTAAGGTATTATTATTCGTTTTTGGTCAAGATCCGCAAGAACTTGTACATTGGGTTTAACTCAAATTTTGAAGTCTTCTTTACATTAATGTTTTTTTCACATATAAAATTTGTTTTTTCTTTCTTTTATCTTTTTCATTATTCAGATCATTTGTCATTTCAATTATAAATAGCAGGCTTGCTGATGTAGGGCCGATAATCCGCCGGCTTTCCCTTTTGGATCTTTAGGCTGATGGACCTTGTACATTTTATTATGGGCCTAAGGAATTATGGTAAAGAGGCCCAGATTTTATGAGGATCACATTAGACCATCCATTATTATCGTTCGTATTCGTATTGGAAATGTATCGCAGTTCAAACTTCAGACCTCAACGTCCTCAAGTCCTTAAAAATCTTAAAATCCCAATTATCCGGTGTGAATTTTAATTTTGAAATAGCTAAATTTTAGTATTTTGGAGATGATGACTATATTTTAAATAGTGATCTTTAAAGTGTCTATTTATATACTTCATCCTGCGTGATTTTTATTATCGTAGCTCAATAATTAATCAAGCACATCTCATTATTATCATCCATTTCGTTGCGTATGGTATTTGAGATGGAAATAATTGACTAAATAATAAGATGATAAAGCTAACAAATAATTAATGTGAAGGTCCATGAGGAATACAATTTCCTAGATTTTACTACTCAAACAATTATACAAATTTATTATTTGTCACATTTGAAAATCATAGTAGCTTAGTTGGTTGGTTACATAAACTTTCCTCTCCCCCGTCCTCAATTTTCTAAACAACTCTCACCTCAAAAAACTACATCATGCACAAGAAAAAAAAGTAGAAACCACAAAATATGATTTTTCCTATTTCTTTTTAGAGTTCTTAATAAAATACAATAACTACAATTCTTAAATATGTAACGATGACTAAGAATATTTTGTTTAAATATTTTAAATAATTAAAGTGAGAAATGTTGAAAATACTTCTAAATTCGGCGCGAATTATTATTTTCATTCTCGAATTACTGACAGCCTTAAAAATAGATCTTTACTTGACTAGCTGAATTTGAATACACCTTTGTTATGCTAAAATTCTCTTATTATATAAGAGAGACTTCACGCTGAAGCAGACACGTCTTCGAAAAAATTTATAAAAGAATTATTTCTTTTGTTTAACTTTAATTTAATTAGTATATAATATTTTCGAAATTATAGGATCCATTTTAGCTATGACTTTTTAGTTTTAAATTCATATTCTTTTGTTATAGCTTTATTATTTTGAATATCGGTATTATTTGTTTATATCTTGCAACTACTTTGAGTAAAAAATCAACGATCGATGATGAAAAATACTTTATTTATGGACATCTTAATGGACCTCTTCACAATAAATTTGCACAAACAAAAAATAATTAACAACTTAAAATATCTAAACATCATATTAAAATTTAATCTACTTTCTAAATTCTATCTATATTACATAAATTAAAATAAAAAATAATAGATATTGGGGCCGTACTAGCACGACACCTATGTCTTGTTGAAAAAGGGAAACTTTCGCATATAACCACTTAAAAATAGCTTAATTACGCTCCATAACTATAGTTTGCTAATTACGATTCGTAGCTGCATGTTATAGGGATGAGAGTGGCGAGCGAGATTGGGAGAGGGAGGAGAGAGGCGAGCGAGAGAGGGCAGAGAGTGGAGAGAGGCGAACAATATATGCATATCTATCAGATAATTGTATATATATAACTGATATACATATTTATTTGTATGTTTGGAGAGAGAGAGATTGGGAGAGGGAGGAGAGAGGCGAGCGAGATTGGGAGAGAGAGGAGAGAGGCAAGCGAGAAAGGTCATAGAGTGGAGAGAGGCTAATTGTATTTGTATATGTCATATAATTGTATATATATATGTGTATAATTTGTATTTGTATATGTATAAAAGAGGATAAGTGACGTAATTAAAGCTAAAATTAATCTGTAAGCCATAATTAATTCAAACTATAGCTATATCAGCTAATTAACTAGTATATGTTTGCTTTTCCGCGTAATTTTCCCTTGAAAATATAAACTCCACTTAAAACATTTGCTATTTTTTATAAAAAGAAAATTCATTTTTTGTCTTAAAACATTTTATTTTTAAAAAAAATTATTGCTGGAATTTTTTTTTTTTTTTAAAAAAACAGAGAGCGTGGTATTGGCATCTAAAAGAAGTCACTGGTAAGTCGTAATTGTTCTTGAACAGCAAGCAAGCAATTTCAGAAATGGCGACTCTGTAACCCCAACCTTACGAAACCCATTCAAGGGTTTTTTCTTCTTACCTTAATCTACAAAATCTTCTTTGGGAGGTTCTCTGTTAGTACCTTTTTATTTATTTATTCAGATTCTGTTATAAACCCTAGAGTTTAATATGAAAGAAGAAGAAAGTGGGCCGCAAAATAGAGAGTTATATGCATTGCTTCATATATCTCCAGAAGCTTCTGATGAAGAAATTCGAAAAGCTTATCGTCAATGGGCTCAAATCTATCACCCTGATAAATATCAAGCTCTTGAGGTACTCACAGTCCACTCTTTGTACTATACTTGTTTTTGGTTTGGGAACGCTTAATTTTTTGTTTTTTTTTAATTTTCGATGTATTTTTTGTACTATGCTTGTTTTTGGTTTGGGAATGCTTAATTTGCGTATTTGGAGTTAAAAGGGTAATTCACGGTTGTGTCGGATCAGCTTGAGCTCACCTTCCGGCAGCAACCTGAATTAAAGGATGAATTATGCGCTATTGGTTAAATTGGGCCTGTATAGAACAGAATGGATACATAGGATTCATATAGCTGATTCCAACTAGTTTTGTGAACCCTTAAATTGTGTATTTGAAGTTAAAGGGTATTTCACGGTTGTGTCCGGGTCAGCTTGAGCTCACCTTCAACATGTTACCTGAACCAAAGTATAAATTATGTGTTATTGGAATTGAATTAGGCCGTTATAGAACAGACTGGATATATAGGAGCCATATAGCTGACCTCCAAGGCTCCAACTAGTTTTGAGAATCCTTAATTTGTGTATTTGATGTTAAAGGGTAATTCATGAGCTCACCTTCGGACTGCTACCTGATTTAAAGGATAAATTATGTTATTGGAATTTATTGGGCCTGAATAGAGCGGAAGGGATACATAGGAGGAGTCATATAGTTGATCTCTGACTAGTTTTGAGAACCCTTAATTTGTGTATTTGGAGTTAAAGGATAATTCACGCTTGTGTTTGGGTCAGCTTGAGCTCACCTTCCACATGCTACATGCATTAAAGGATAAATTGTGTGTTATTGGAATTAAATTGGGACTGTATAGAACATAAAGGATTCACATAGCTGATCTCCAACTAATTTTGTGAACCCTTAATTTGTGTATTTGGAGTTAAAAAGGGTAATTCACGTTTGTATTCGGGTAAGCTTGAGATCACCTTCTGCCTGCTAACTGTTAAAGGATAAATTTTGTGTTATTGGAATTAAATGGGCTTGTATAGGACGGAATGGATACCGACGATTTGTATAGCTCAACTCCAACTAGCTTGTGGTTGGGGATGAGTTTAACATTTTGATATGTTTTTAAACTGTTCTAGTTTTAGAAAACCCTGGTTTGTCTATTTTCTTTAAATGGTGAATTGTTTAATGTGGGAATGAAATGGGACTGAATAGAGAACTAGTTTTTAGAAAAGACTAGTTTGCCTGTTTTTCCTTTAGGGATAAATTATGTAGTGTTGAAATGGGTGTTGATTAGATGGAATGTATACATATTGCCTTCATCTAGTCAACTTCAACTAGTTTTCCATAAAGTAGCAGTTGTTTGATTGATATGTATGAACTACAACTAGTCTTGTTTTTGCCTTTGATATTGGTGGAAAGTCGCTGTGCTTGCTTTTGCTCAATTTTCTTCCAGGTATTTTGCATTGCAATTGGCATATTTATTCTTTTCTCCATGCTTTTGTTTTTGCATTGCGATTGGCATATTGATTAGATATAAATTCAACCTTTTTCCATGTGATTAGACAGTTGTGAATGTTTTACTTTGTATCCAATTTGGAATTTTGGTGCTTAGTATTCGATTTACCATCATAAAAGACAAAAAGAAACTCACGTCCCATTGGCTCATTCATACACTTGTTTAGTGGAGGGAGATTCAATATTGACTGAATTTTTGAAGATGGGTATAACATTGTTTTGTCCTTGGTACATGTTTTGTGCAATGGGACTAATAGCTTGTTAGCTGGTACTATATTCAGGATCTTCTTGAAAAAGTAGGACCAAGATCATAAGTATCAATTGCTGGTGCTTTCAGGTTCAGAGTCATAATACAAGTGATTCCTGCTGAGATTCTACATATTGATCCTTGTGTAATAACTGCTCGAGTCTCTTCTAAAATCTCTGTTCTTTAGCCTAAAAAAAGAGGGTAGAAGAGAGGAAGTGTCTTTCCAATGGGGAAGAACGTGGTAGAAAACTCAATAGTTGCCAGCTCTTCAAATTTTTGCTCTTCGTAGTCTCCTGGGTGGGGGATCGGCAAAACGTAATATTGAGTTCAACAGAATCTATATCAAAGATTTATGCAACAGTGCCAATTGGCGGAAAAAAATTGTACGTGTCTAGATTCCTTGTTTTCCTGCTTATGATGGTCAAGTTAATGTCATATATCGCATGTTCTGTCTTATGGGTTTGGTAGGGGAGGCTTCATAAGTACTGTATTACATGTTTGTTATTTGGCAAACAGCCATTATTATGGTTCAGGGCCTTATCTATCTGAAAACTAGGACCTAGATCTTTCTTATTGCAGTGTTTGGGCTATTAGGTTGTGAGATGTTATATAGGTGGTTTCTTGAGATTACTACATTTTGCTAATTTCTTCTAGAAACTTTTTTCATTAAGGAATAACTAATAAGGTTACAAGAGAAAACTGTCTCACAATGGGGAAGAATATGGTAGAAACTCAGTTTTTCATGATAGTGAACTTGTTTTATCCTCTTAGTTCAGGGTGTTGGGGATCTTGCAGTGAGGTCAAGAAAATCAATATTTTTTAAATCTTAGCAACATTATTACAAGATATTAGATAATTGCCAACTGTTGGAAGTAACTTCTCTGGCTTTCTTATTTTTCTGATTCTGAAGGTCAAGTTGTGAGTATTTAGTGGCATATTTTTCCTGTTTCAGATGAAGGAAATTGCAACAGAGAATTTCCAACGAATATGTGAAGCTTATGAAATTTTATCGGATGAGACGAAAAGACAAATATATGACATATATGGTATGGAAGGGATTAATTCTGGTCTGGAACTTGGTACTAAGCTGAACAAAGCTGAAGAGATCAAGGAAGAACTTGAAAGACTACGTCGTCAGAAAGAACTTCAAAAGGTTGCAGCACATCTCCGACCTTCTGGGTCAATTATGGCAAATCTGTCATTGCCACAGTTTTTAGAGGGTGATGGCATTATGAAAGGGTAAGCATCTGTACTTCTTTTGTATTTCTATGTCTTAATTGCTTTTGTAGATTAAGATGACGACGTAGATATGTGTGACTAGGTAATTGATAATCCAATAGCATGGCAGAAGCCAACTATTCCATCTATCACATTGTACATGTTAAAATTCCTTTGTCCTTAATCCTAGAAGAATATGCAAAGCCATGTTCCTTTAAGTAACTTGCTGATAAGTAAATTTCTTTTAAGTATGCGAGTTATCATTTTTGTGGGACAACCTGCAAAAGAATTGTTCTAAGCTGCCCACAAGAATGCTGGTGGATTTGGAGCTAACGAGCTTATGCTTTAAATTCTTTTAGCTTCAGTGTGTGCTTCTATGACATAGAAGTGAAGCAAAATCAGGTTTGAGAATTGTACCGTGAAGCAGAAAATATTAGAAACAGGGATCTTGAGGAATCCTTGTTGTGAGTCCCTAATAAACTATCTAAGGGTTTTTAAAATTTCAAGTAAGGTAAAGACCATTAAACATATTCAAGAGTCGCTCTGCATTCTTTTGTAAAAATTTGATCCTTATTATCTTCCTCGACGGCTTTTGGCTATCTCCTCAAGAGATTTCAGTTGCCATGATTCCATTATATTTGCACTTCGGTTACTTAATACATTACACCGTGTCTACAGAAGTAATGACCTAAGCAGCCTGTAGGCTTATAAACTGTAGAATTGAGCTGCTCTAGCGGAATATGCATTGTGTTGCTAGCACTACTGTCATTTTTGTTCAGAAGCACTAAATTTTACTTTATTGTACGATATTGCAACACTAATGCTTAAGCTTGTTTAGGCATAGTTAGCAATATGTTTCTAGTTGATTTTTTTGTTTGTTTGTTCCTTCAACATGTTGATCATTCAGCAAGTCCAAGTTTGTCTTCTATATGATTATTCAGCAATGCCTCTTGATATTACCTCATCTTACCTTACATGTTTTTGGGCTTGATTGCCAGGATGGCTATGGCTAGTGAAGTCCAGTCTCAGATTTCCAAAAACAATGCTGTTGCCATTGGTGGAAATCTGGCGGTTAATGGGAATGCCGGCGGTGGTGCTGCATCTATTGTTTTTAGGCATCAAATGTCATCAGTTTCGTCAATAGAGTTTATGGGGTCTATGGGTTTGAGAGCATTACTAGGAGTACAGACAACTCGGTAGGATGATCCATTCTGCTATGTGTTGCAGATCTCAAAAATTTTAGCCAAATATTGACCTGTTCTTTGTCTTATCAGTCATATATCTGTTCACTCTACGGCAACAATGGGTCTTGCTATGTCTTTAAGAGATGGTTCTGTTAATCTCTCCAACACTTGGACTCGCCAGCTATCTGATACCGCTCATGGAAATGTAAGCTATTTTTGAGTTGATACATATCTAGAAGCTTAAAAATAATTTTTCATAGTTGCTACTTGCTACTATTCTTTATGCTTCGTGCCTGCAACTTAAGTTAGAAGATTGATGATCCCTTGGACCATAGCATTCTGGAACATACTCGTTTAGGGGCTGAGGCATGAAATCTCTGTGCAGCTCACGTTACTGATATTCACTCATTCTTTTTAACTTATCAAGAAAATCTTATATTTTTCCGTTTCCCCTTTCACTTTTTTGTGCAGATACATCTTTCATTAGGTCCAGAGTCATCTATAGCTGTTGGATGGCAGAGGAAGGAGCAGAAAAGGTCTGCTTCTGGAGAAATCAAGGTTCCACTTTTCTGCTCTAGCTCTAAAGACATTTATCTTTTGATTACATTCTCTTATAAAAGCTAATTTAAGAATTCTTGTTTCCTATTTAAGACTTGCCCATATCATCTTTGTTTATTCTTGAATTGAGTAATTACTGGCTGACACTTTCTTTGATCTGGTTATGAGGGATTCTGTACTTACGGTTTGAAGTCCACACGAACATTAATGCTCCAGATATTTTCATTGGTTTTGTTAAAAACAGATGAATTTCTCTCATCTACCTGTTGATATGGAATTAAGATCCCTTAATGGTTAATTTATTGTTTACTTTGTGGCCTACAACTTACTTTTTTCTGGACAAGTAGAACACACACCAACTATTAAATGTAAATCCAGCTTTCTAGTAGACTACACAGCATAATCTCCCTACATCTGAGTAGGGCTTTTTATTACTTGGTCATGACTTGTGTCCAAAAAACCTTACCAAGCTGTTGAATTAAATTTAAATGGTTATTTAGGTTGCTATGTTACTTTAGTATCAATTGTTTGGTTTAGTATCATTTTGAGAGAAAAAAATCTGTACGGTAATGAGAAGCTTCCTGATTAAAAAAAAGAAGTGACATAAGTAACAATTTGTATTTAAAATTAAGAAAAAGGAAGAAAATGCACTTTCAGTTTTAGCAGTTCTCGAATATTCTGCTGCCAAAATCTGGGAAATGAACCTGTGTAGATTGGTGCCCCTTGAAATGTGCCCCAACAGTGGAATGCTCCCTAATAAAAAAGAAAGAAAGGAACTCAAACTGGACAAGCTGGTCGAGTTCTATTCAAGACCTTTGCTTGATTTGTTCTTAAAAAATAAGATTATGATTTCTTCTGCTCTTGCTCCCACTTGCTTTAGGTTATTTTAGAGCTGTAGATGTTCCACAAAGTTCTGACTAGCGTACTAGCAGGAACATGGAGAAGTTAGCAATGATAGTATTGTATTAGGTTCTGTAATAACGTGACCTGTTCATGTTCCACCCTCTAATTTCCCTTACTTCCGCGTGAGAAGAAAATAGAATGATATATATGTTGGGTCACTCCAAACATATTTTAGAACTATGAGTCTATTTGTGTTTATAATGCAAATATAACATACTTGCAACTTCATGTTCTGTCAAACAGACCTTTTCCCACTTTAAACAAATTCAACATGAGAAGTACATTGGGTTCAAATGATATTAAGCGGCATTAAGTCAATAACCTGCCTTCAAGCAGCATCTTAACATTACCAATTTTGCGAGACTTTGAGTATTCTTTTATCTATCTATAATTTGCATCCAACGTAATGCAGCTAGGGACAGGGTCATTTGGTGCAACGGCTAATTACACCCACCGCTTCTCCACAAAATCTCATGGGCGTATCGCAGCCAGAATCGGAAGGTTCATTGATGTTAATAGTTCCTCATTTCTTTTTTTGAATAGTATTCGACTTATTGCTGTTACTGTGTTAAAGTTAAAAGTTCTAAGCCTTGATATTCTGTACTCTTTTGCTTAAATAAACTAAATGATCTGTGGTCTGAATAAGCTAATGAACGCCTGGTACACTTGATGTGTTGCAATTCTAGTTTAGATTTATTTTGTTGAATGATCAAATCTCTCTGATCCTTGTTCATTTCCGCGTATCTAGTTTTGGGTAGTGCACATGGTAATGGTGATGACTAAGGCCTAACTTTTACCTTGTCAAAACAAAAATGGTGATGACTAGGCCTAGTACTCGATTGTAGCTTGAGTAAGTCAATACATAACTTGCATTAGCTATTGTTTTAAATTCTTGTTTGTAATCAGATTTCTGTAAAATCTGGTTATATAAGCGATTTAACAATATTTTAATGATCGTTTACTTTATAAGTCCCTCAATTTGTTCTGGTATTAGTTAAACCTTTTAAGAACTTCTGGGAAGAGCAAACCTGCTAGTGTCTTGGAAAAAAGGCATCATAGATTTCTGTAAAAGATGGTTATATAAGCAATTTCTCATTTTCTTCTTGATTGTTTTCTTTATCATCCCATCACATTTCTTCTGGTATTAGGTAAAACTTTTTTACCAACTTCTGGGAAGAGCAAACCTCCTAGTATCTTGTAAAACAACTCATTGCATCTTAACCCAATTGAAATTCTTTGTATTTTCTGCTCTCTAGTTTGAACCAGGAATGGCATTTTCTTGGATTTTCAGTTTGTTTTTTAATATGTTCCCAGAGAACCATATCTTCAAGTTAAGCCAAAAACACCATAATCCAGTTTACTGGATTTATCTTCATGCACAAAATTTCATGTTTAATTGGTAGCCTCTTCTCAGGACATTCTATATTATATTGCAGTACGGCACTTGAACTTGAATTGGGAGGTGGAAGAAAAATATCTGAATTCAGTACCATTCGGATGCTGTATACCGTAGGAATTCAGGTATATATTGGCAAACTAACTACTTTCACCCCTTCCCGAAGAAAAGAGGAGTGGTGCCTACTTTCTTCTATGCTTTTGTTAGACATGCTTTACAATTCATTAGAAGTCATTGTTGCAAGATTGCACATGATTTTCATGTTTTTTTTACACCTCATATCCTTTTTTTTTCTCACAGGGGATCTTTTGGAAGTTTGAGTTACATCGTGGGGGACAAAAGTTGATTGTTCCTGTAAGTAGTCTCAACTTGTTCTTATATGCGTTATTTTGGTTTCATGCTTTTATCTTTTCTTTCTTTTTCCTTTTCGGTTTGCTTGTTCATATGCATGCACATGTGTTCGTGACTTTGGGTACATATTCCCCAGAATTTCTTGCATCTACAGTTGCTTCTTGATCATGATCTTAATCAGGCACTTCCAAGATGATCAGGAGTCTAATGATCTCGAATTATAACGAACCTAAACTAATGCAAGATCACTTATTTTAAGAATATAGTACGGTACCTCAATGCATTGAACTAATGAAATACTATATCCTACAACGCAAAAACTAGATTTCCTACTCAAGGAATTGGATATTACGTATGATCTTAACTAAATTTGATTGGATAATGGCTCTGATGGTTTCACCAAAACTAGGTATGCATTTGGCCATGATTTTTTTTTCCGGAGTTGAACTCTGGAAAACATGTTTGGCCATAATTCTACTTGAAGTTGAAATCGAGAATTTTCAAGAATTTGAAAACAACTAAACGATATCTTCACTTTTTCACTCCAAATTACTCACAAAAGTAAAAAACAACTCCAATTTTCAAATATCATTTTTCATTAACAAGAACTACTTTTTTCAAATTTCACAATGAAACATGGCCAAACACCCACTTAAAACGCATGATTTAATCCAACTTTGTGAAACAATCAAAAAGTAACACAAGTACACAACTATAACTGGCCAGTTGAAAGTTATTTGGTTGTACTGTAACTTGTAGATAGGAGTTGCAAATTAATTGGTACATAGAGGTGAAAGGTTTTGCTTATATTTTAAACCTAACTTTATTTTTGCATTCAATACCATAAACCATGGCGAAAATAATAGAGCATTAATCTATCTCGGGTTAAAAGACGTTTTCTGGGCGGATTCTACGGTTTACCTCTGAGCGAGGCATCCTTGAAATGCTTTGGGGTGGCAGTGGCGATCGCAAGTATCGCGGTGCATTTGCTCAAACTGGTCTGCCTGGAGTCGCTTTGAAATAATTCAGAGGGTCTCTAGTTCTGCCTAGTTTAATAACCAATAAAGTGAATCCTAAAGAAAAATAACAAAATTTCTTTTGCTTTTCTTTGCTGTCTTGCATTAAGAAGCTTATGGAATGGCATGTTTGAGCGACTATAATCTCTATGATCTGTATTCAGCCATCTGATTCACTCTTTTTAATCTACTTTTTTCCGGTGATGTCCCCCCAAAAAATTGACTTTTCTATGGATAGTGGATAATCTAAGTTCCTATAAATAAGTTATGTTACCAATTTCAAAATAAAAAAAAGTTCATCTAAATAAGTTAGCTCAAAGAACTTACCATTATCTAAACATTATCTGTCTCAATCAAGATCTTCGTTGTTCATACTGTAAGTGTTTTCATTTTTGCTAAATATTTATGGATGCAGGTATTACTTTCTAGGCATTTGAACCCTATTTTTGCCACCGGAGCATTTGTGGTACCGACCTCACTGTATTTTGTACTGAAGGTTTGCGTTCTGTCTTCAAACTGAATTTGAAAATTTCTTTTCGGTCAATAGCTAACTACATGGTGGTTCTCAATTATTATCTGGGGGAATTTGCTATATTACTGCTTTCCTTGTATTTCTGTTATAGAATACTTAATTCGGTCGAGACAGAAATCCTAGTTCTTCTGATAAACATATCAATATCCATAGTGAGTTATGCCAAAACATTTAACTTCTTTTTTATTTGGTGACCTATGAGTAGGTTTACCTTGGTAGTTACCCATTTTAAAGATTTTACAATTGATGGCCCATATTGCATCTACTTATTTCCTTCCCTGGATGTTTCAAATATGTTTTACTGTAGCCACTGGTTTTGATTCTGAGTTGTTGGAGGGGGGTTCCTCGTGGTGGCAATATGAGGAAATGTCTCCTCGAAATTATGGCTTGCTAGTTTCGTAACTGCTCAGTTTCCATGACTGCCGATTTCTCTCTCGTTGAGATATCTTTTCCTTTACTCCTTCCGTTTCAATTTGTTTGTCTGGTTTTGAGTTGCACGAAGTTTGAGAAAGTAAATTAGACTTTTGAATCGATCTTGTGGTCTTAAACTAAAGATATGTAGAATGTACCAAAATGCCCTTTAATTTTGTGGTCGTAAACATGTCATGTGGAAAGTTTGAATTAAAGAGTTGTCAAAAAATTTAAGAGACAATTCTTTTTTGAACGGACTAAAAAGGAATGTAAGACAAACGAATTGGAACTGAGGAAGTATTATTTATTCTGAATTGTTGTGGGGCCTTGTGTTAGCAAAATGTATCCCATTGATTATACTTTATAATTTTCTCGCTTTCTTAACAGCTCATTTTCCAGTCACTTTTTGACTGTTTTTCTCATATTTGCAGAGATTTGTTGTGAAACCTTTTTATCTTAAGCGCGAAAAGCAGAAGGCATCAGAAAATATGGATAAAACCCTTGTCCAGGTAATTATAAATTATACATAGTTCGGGTGACTGGCATTGCTGCTGCCTGAATTCTATAAATAGCTTCCCCTGTTCTTGGCAGCCAGACATTAGGATGTTTGATAAACAACTAGGCTTCAATCGCAAGCTAGTTGGGGTTGGAACATAAATCCTCTCAATCCCCCGCTTGTACCTTGGGACATTCTGTGAGCCAATATTTTGTTTTCCACTTCAGTAGTTTCTAAGTGTTGATGCAGTTCGTTGTGCACTGCCTCTTCTGATATGATAGAGAATGTATATTGTTTTGTCTATGAAGCACTCTCATGGTTCTTTCCTTGTGCTTATAAGTGGATGGTCCAATGTGAAGCCAACCTCTACTGCAGCTTTGCTCCTAACACACTACATTGTTGTAGGTTCAGGAGGCTAGGACGGCTGCTAAGAAAGCTCAACAACTATTGCAAAATGTGGCCAATAGGAAAAGAAGTAGACAGCTTGAAACAGGTGGACTGGTTGTTACGAAAGCACTGTATGGCAGTCGTAAAGCTCTGAAGAACAGAAATCAAATAGAGGAAGTGAAAGATGAAGTGGCTTCTCAAATCATTGATGTCACTCTACCTTTAAATTTTCTTGTGAGCGACTCGGGGCAACTAAAGGTCCGTTTTTACATAGTCTGTTCTTAATAGATTTCTTTTTGTTATCAGTCCTAAGGATTCCTTGTTTCACATTTGATGCCTTATTGCTCTTCTTTTTAGTTTATATTACTTGCTTTAATTGATCTTCTCTTTGAACATCGTAAGCTATTAGAGGTCATAAAGGAAGGAGAATTATAACAGCTGCAGTAGCTAAGAGAAGGTTAGGGACGTGGTTGGCTTAGATGGCATAAAAAGGAGGAGAAAGAAAAAAGATGAGCTATATGGAACACAATCATGATATGTCAAGATATCTTCTTGGTGCTCCTCCTGTCATTTTGTCTGTTTGGCTTGAAGGAGTACTGGGACTTGCAAGATTTGTGTTTCTCAGGTAGATTAACATAGCCATTGTATATCATGAGGATTAACCCATGTTTTAGGCTCCATATGGTTAACACATTAGATTTCCGAGATTTCCCCTAGGTTGAATTCACATAGATAAAATTTTCCTTTAGTAACAAGGAACACAATCGTTTTGTGTATTTGGAATGAAAGGAATCACAGATATATTGATGAAAGCTCAACTCCAACCCATATTTTGAAAGCTAGATGTTTAGTTAATCTCTACAGTTTGAATTTCCTTAAGCCTGTATCTGTCCCAGTTGATTTTTTCGATTTTGTTGGCTCCTTGATCTAATTGACTGATCAACTGTTATGGAGCTAACACTACTTAATTTTCTACTTCTTTTGCATCTCCTTGATGCCAATTAATGATATATTCGTACTACATAGAAAAAAATGAACACAATTGACTATCTCATCTGTAAAAGCTACACATCTGTTGTTTAATCAATATTAGCCTATGTACTTTTAGTGTTTGGACGCTTTCTTTGGTATAACTGTTGCGATGAAAATAATTACATATATACATATTTTTGCTTACATTTCACTAGTTCATGAAACAACTAGCCAATATCTTGTCTGTTCAAGATGGTTCTACTTTTTACTATTGGATATTTCATGTCTCATTATTTATATGCAGCTGCATGAGGGTGTAAAGAAATCAGGAATTATGGGATTTTGTGATCCTTGTCCAGGAGAATCTAAGCAGTTGTATGTGGAGTACACCTTCGATGGTAGCAACTTTGAGGTAAATCTTCTTCTTTCTATCTTTTTCTGACATTAGAAAACATCCCCTGTTAACTAAAATTACTCTCAAAATATCAACAGGTCATTGTCGACGATTTGGATGAGTTGCTTATACCCCAAGAATCTCACAGAATTTGCTGACAAGTGAGCTGCTGAGTCTCTGTTTTTTCACTTCACTGAAGATAGATTTAAGGCTGTTGATTCCTCCAGATGAGTATGATAGTCAATTGGAGAAATTTAAGGCAACCAATTGAGAAGACTTGGTTACCTCTTCAAATTTTGCATCATTTGCTATGCCTCTGAAGTACTCTTTGTTCAATGTTACTGCCCGTCGCTTCCCTTCTTATCCTCCTTACCCTCTAAATCAACAGGAATAAGAGCGTGGGAAACTAGCAGAAAGGAATAGAGTTTTCGCACCAACCCTAGTCTTAGAAATGTTAAAATGGGATGCAGTTCCTTAGGGTTTTGGTTAAAGATTACTACAGAGTGTATTCTATTTTGACAAAATAAAGGCAGTCTAGCGATATCTTATTCTTTCACCATTAGACTATTTGGTGAACTCCTTATATTCTGTACCACAACAGAGAGCAATACTGGTGCATCAAAAGAGATGATGCCTCAGAAACAGAAAGAGTTTTAACAAACTTTTGCTTTCTCATTTGGCCTCACTAGTTGTTTTCACACTTGTGCAACTGTTCATTACAAGATTCTTCATTTACAAAGTTATAACACTCTGCATGTATTCTAAAAATATGATCATAGAAGGTTAGCAATATCCAGCTTTAAACCCTTACAGGAGCAGCAGATTGAGGATTCAACTGGCAAAATAATGTGAGATTTGTTCCATTCAAGGTGCATTATATCAACCATAGCTTCTTTTTCCTCTTCTGATCAGGTAAAAGTTTATGTCAATCATAACATTCAGCAAAGTCTTTCTGCAATATATATATATACTGCCCGGTTTTGACCTTGTCCTTTATATTTTAGGAGGCGTTATTGCGAAAGAAACACTTGCTGATAGTTTAATTTGCTAGTATCCAAAAGGCCTTAAGATTATAGTATATAGTTTCGGAGTGACTACTTTTCTCATTATAAACTGGTGCTTGCTGGGAGAAAAATAACAAAGTTTAGACACTCTTGTACTGAAAGTTAGAATATTGCAAGTTTCCGTAACAAGCTATATGATCCAAGTTATGGAGAATTTTTGAGTTATGACGATCAAAATGATTTGTGACTAATCCAACATGACAGCTAAGATTGAAGTGACTCAATTTTCTATCTTTACCATAATTTAAATTTTAAGATTGCACTTTTTTCTCTAACGTAGGTTCTAATCGACACTTATCCACACAAAAGGTGGTTCGAAACTCACTATTTTTGGCTCGAACTATGTGTGTATGTAACGAAAAAAAATAAGATCCACTCATTTTGAAAAATGAAAATTTTGAATTTTGGATTCACCTCTTAATAATGTACACGGTTACACTTGGCGAAACCAGAAAAGAGGAAAGCTGTCACATTTAAGAATAGAGTGGAAGATATCAAAGAGGGACAATTGTTGCACTCTCTTTTTCCTCTTTTGTTGGTAGTGTATTAGCTGGTTGATGTTGCCATTACGTGACAGTAGCACCATAACCTATTAGCTCACAAGCATGGCATGAAGATAGCCTGGATACAGCTCTTTAAAGTTAAGTACTACTTCATTATCATCATCTTTATATTTGGAGTCGTCTTTGGTGGGAAGCATTTTATTCTCAAAGTAAGATCTAGTTTCAAAATGGATACCGAACATGGGGTAGAAATCACAAACAGAAAAAAGATCATGTCTATTTTTTGTTACATCATTTATCTGCTAGGTATTGAACTATTGGATTCGAACCACTGCTTCTCCTTATTGTCGTGAGCGGGTCTGTCGTCCTCTTAGAATCCAGAGCATTTCGTCGAAATGCATCCTGTCTTTTCACCTTAGTAGTCCTATGCATAGTCAGTACTATAGCCCCAATCATGGCTACTAATATAGTAAAACTTCAACAACAATAATTGCACACTAAAAGAAACGTAATTAAGAAGCCCCCTATGGATTTGTTTTTCTTAAAATAGCCACATGAATGGTTTCTATTGCTAGTAGAGTTGGGCTGAATAGTTATGGCCACTTCTATGAAACAATTAGCTGGATTACTATATTGGAGAAAATTAATCATTTGCATGGAGATAGCGTGTGTCATATAATACCTCCGTTCACTTTTAATTGTCATGTTTTTATTTTTTTTCCCTTTTTATAGTCAAACTATAAGAACTTTGATTAACATTTTACGATATATTTTTTCACCATATGTGAAAAATTACAATTTATAGTACTTTTCGTATAGTTTTTGAATATCTAGTTTTATTGTTTAAAATATCGAATTGGTGTAATCTAATTTAACTTTAAAAATTAGTCAAATTGACATTTAAAAAGCGCAATCTGACAAATAAAAGTGGACAGAGTGAGTATCTCTTTTTGGAGGTGGTGGGGGTGGATTGGCAGAAATTGGAATTCTAATAAGGAGATTAGAAAATGGAACTTCATAAGAATATAAAGTTTAGCCGCTTCAAAAACAACTTCATATATATATGAGGTCTGAAGTTAGGTTTTGGTAGAATATAACTTCAGATATGACGATACTTCAAGCCAGCAAGTCTAAAGGTGATTTTAACATGGATAAATTTTGGTTATTCCTTAAATATGGATTTTTAAATGGCTATTTGTTCAATTTACCCTTTAAAAAAGAATAATAAATACTTCATCAATTTTACTGATTCAACTCAAGAGTCATTCTTATAACTCACCTGTTATTATTCACATCCATTAATTTTAAATTCTGAATCCATTTAGGAACGTCGACAACCAAAAGTTTTTGAACCAAGCTCATAATTGTCCTTTTGGTTGTAATCCAAATTAATGAACGCATGCAGGTCCACACGTTGACGGCAAAATTCTTGGTAGTTGAAGCTTCCAATTATTGTGTTTAGTTAAATAATACTCTAATTAACAAGGATAATCATATTAATTATACTGATGAATTCTTAGGCCTTCCTAGCTTATTTTATTAATTCAACTAATCTTCTCATAATTAGTAGATAAAGAATGGATATATATGAACCAATAAAGTAACATTTTTTTATGAATAGATTATGGATAGAACAGTAAAATTTGGAAAGTGAGTTAGGTAAGGGATTACCAACAAGTTGAGTATTATTAGTCATTAAAGCATCATTTTAAAAGTATGTACTCAATTATTAGCAATTCCACACTGGGATCCACCAGTTTTATCAGTAGTACTACTTAATTGACTGATGATTATATTTGGCAATATAATACTGGATTAGTTAAGATATGTTTCTTCATATTAAATACATTTAGCAAAATACGCTCTATAGGCTTTGGTACTCCTTTTACTTTTAACAAAAATGGTATCAGTATATAGCTTACATGCATCTCAATTATTTCACCAGATATACTTTCCATAAATAAAGTTATCGAGTGACTTTGTATCCATAGAAAATTGATTAATAGATATCTCACTTCGTTGTAAATTGAACCTAGTCAAGCAATAGAAGCATGAAAAAAAAAGACTTTCTTTGCACATAGATGGACTATCTTTAGCGAAATTGAGCATGAATTGGGAAGGGGTTCAGTCAAATTTTTTCATCGAAAAATCACACTATATATATAAGGTTAATTATTATGTATATATATTGGTGATGAATCCCTTAATGGGAAGAGGAAAAGGAAATCCTACGGGTTGGATTGCTCGTGTGTCCAGGGGACAAATCCTATTTGAAATGGATGGTGTGAGTTTGTCAAATGCTCGACAAGCCGCTACATTAGCGGCGCATGAAAATTCCATATCCGCCGCTCAAATATGGTGTACCTTTGTCCTATATGCTATTCAATTTTAGTTAGATTTGTAACATAGTAAGTATTTTAATAGAATACGACAATCTTAAAAAGAAAAAGTAGTAAGGGAGTAGGAAGATGTGGACAACACTTGAGAGTTCTTGTTCAAAGTTAATAATGCAATATAGGTATGGCAATAATCATGAGTCATAATCAAAATACTTCACCACCTAACTCTTAGTTTTTGGTCTCCATTAGCCAACCCCATACATATCTATCTATCAATCTTTCTTTCTAGTAAAAAGTTTATTTATTTTTTATTTCTCACTCGGTGTTTGGAGTCTGCAGATTAAATTCGGATCGCATATTGTAGGGTCCATTTGGGGTGGCGCTCCCAACATAATTTTCTACATACCTAGGGTTTGAACCACAGGCTTCTGGTTAAGGGTGAAACAGTTCCACCGCTACACCAATCTAGTAAAAAGCATTAATATGACTTTTAGTTGCAAGTGTTTGTCCTCATCATATCCTTCTCAAATTCCATTGATGTGATAGACATATTGGTCTTACACACACATCAAGTATATAGAAATTTCACATAATTTGACTCCAAAAGAGAATAATGCTTTGGTCGGTTATTCATTGAAATTTTTGTAGGAGTATATATCCATCTTATTAATTATATATATGTCAATGGGGTTGTGATATAGAGTTGGGTAAAATCAACAAAATTGAGTAGTCCCTTTAATTATTGATGGACCAATTTGATGGCCATTGAGAACAACTTATTTGGAAAGAATAAGTAAAGATACTTTATGTCAAGTAAAGCGTGACCCAATGGTCAGTGAATAGGTTGAAAAATCATGATATTTCAGGTTTAAATCTCAACTAAAACAATAATATTAGGCAATTTTCTTCATTTGTTCAAGTCTTGATGGATAAAATTACTTGATACTCGTACTAGTGAGAAATAATAGGTATATCATGAAATTAATTGATATGCGCTCAAATTAACCCTAGCACCGCGTTTAACGGAAAAAAACATATATTGTATAAGTTACTTTCTTTTTTAAAGGTGGAAATATGGATAAGATTATTTTATTCTTAATCAAAGATCTTGTATTTGAGCCCTGAAAAAATAGAAGAAGAAAAAACTCTACATGAAGTATATTTTTCTAATGAACTTTACACAACACGAGTTCAAATTAATCAAGAATACTTGAGACCTCAAATTGAGTATCAAACATCGAACGACAAATTAATAAAATGATATTATATGGTAGTGACAAGTTTGAGACAATGAGTGAGGACACAAGATTTGAATGTCCAAAATAAATGGTCCAATGACAAAAGAGAAAAAAGGGATAAAACAAGATGGGTTTAAAGTGTACCTTGTTATTAAAATGAGGGTCCTAATTTCTGAACTTAGAAAAAATCCTTAAAATGGGCCCTACATAGAGGATTTGGCAGGAAGCACAGTGTAAGGTGCCACGTAAGGAATCTTATGTCTTTATCTGTTTTGGTGAGCTGGAAAGTGGGCCACCAATATACTCAATAGTTTCTAGCCTCTTGTTATTCAATGCAAAAAATGAGTTTCTTTAACTTTCATATTTCATCGGTCTCATTTTACGTGACATTTTTTGAATTTTGAAATTCAAATAAGTTTATTTTTGACTGTAAGTTTTTCATAGATCTTTTGAACATTTTGAATTATCAGTTATTGCGACTTATAGTACTTTTTACGTAGTTTACAAGTATATAAATTTCATTTTTCAAAAATGAAGATTCCATGCGCAAATTTCTGATCAAACTTAAACTGTTTGACTCTTGAAAAATGAAAAGTGCC